CAAGGGAGGGGCAGCCCCTTTGGTAGCCAAGAACTAGGGGGTGATTGGGGGTGGGGGGTAAGAGGGGAGACAGTCACACGAGGCGAGACTCTACGTGGGGATCTAAAAATAAAAATTTAAAAAGACAACCCCAACGGTGACAGCCGACGCAGGCTTGCTCACAAAAGCAGCTGCTCAACGAGTTCCAGTTACAAAGTCAAACCCAGCCTTTGGCAACAGCTCTTGAAAACGTATCATCAAGGAGAGGTTTAACGAGAGCGCAACCGGTCCGGGTCTGCCTGCCCAGTTCGCACCAGTGCCAAGCGCCAGCTGGGAAGGCGCTTGCTCGGCTCCCAACCTCGCTCGGCGGCTGCACGGCGGCAGGAGCCGGGATCTCAGGGCAAAACCCGAGCGGCAGAACGGCGCCATCCCGTTGGCAGAACCACCCTCCCGAGAGCGACGGCAGCACTCCAGAGGCTGGCGAACGCCCTTCCCAAAAAAGCAGCTGACCAGGCGCCTCGAGGGATTGGTAACACCGTTCCTCGGAGAGGGAGGCTGGTCAGGGCACACCAACCAGCCTTCCCGGAGCAAAACCCCCGGGAAGCTACGCTGGCTTCTCCCCTGAGCTCCACCGAGAGCAGAAAAGAGAGAGACCAACGTCTCTTCTTTCCCACCACCTGCAGAAAAAGCCCACGCAGAAACTCAACAGGGCCCAGGTCAGCCCACAGGCGAGCGCAACCCCCAAGGTTTAGACCGCGGAGGCCTTTCAAAGGGGTCGGACACCAGCATGTGGGGCCAGGCAGGAAGCCTGGCACCCCACGGACAGACAGCCGGACGCTCTCTCTATGCAAACGCCTGGAATACAGCCCCACCGCTCCTCAGGAACAGCGCTACTCCTTCCCTGGGTGTTAACTTCCACCCTCCCAGGAGCCCCCCCGGTGGATCACGGGCTCCCCACGCAGGTTTCTGTCACACATCCGAAGGGTCTCCCCGCGGGTTGGAGCCTCTCCTCTCGCCTGACGCCGCGGGAGGTCAGCTGGGAGCGGAGGGTGTTGCAACACGTCCCCAGAAACACTCACGCAGCAGTTATTGCGGATCGCTCAGCCCCACCGCTCCCGCCAGCGAATAAACTCCACGCCAACCGTAATTTCTAGCCCTTTGAGCAAAGGATGCGCCTGCTGACTCTTGAGAGCCTTCAGAGGCACCTGACAGCCAAAAACCACACCGAGGCACAGATGCAAACGCGTAACAACATCAGCAAGCGCAGACGGGAAGGGAAAACCCAACCGCAAAGGATTCTCCTTTCGGTTCTTACCTTTTTCTTCATGGCTGTGCTTGGCATCACCCACCTACGGAGAGAAAACCGTCTCCTTACATTGCTCCATGTTCCTCACTCGCAGGCTTCGCTTCAACATCCACATCCCACCCACAGAAGGACGGTGCAAAAGGGGAAGCAGTCCCGTACTGACACAACCCCCATCCCCAAACCTCCACCTCCCCAGGCTTTGACAGCTTCTGCTCCAGAGGAAACTTTAGCCAAAGCCTCCTCCTGCTGCTAGAAAACCCTCTAACGCGCCCATCACGGCCAACGCTCCCGTAACGACA